ATGAACGGAGAAGTGGTGCCTCGATGCGCACCCGGGATCCGAACCCGGGCCACCAGCATCGCAGCGCGCGCACTTAACCACCAAGCCACAGGGCCGGCCCGCAAGTGAATATTTTTAAACCAATCACTAATTTCTATCCAATGTAAAGTATTTAAGAGAGTACCAGTAAAATGAGAGGCTATGTAAGGACTTCAACAATAATGTCACTCTTTTCTGGATGGTAATTTTGGGGGAAACTTTTAATTATTTTTGAAGTATACCTGCTGTGTTCTCAATCAATATTTTATGATGAATGCCATCATTATGCACCCATGCTGAAAACCAATATTCAATCAATTTCTAAGTTTCGTCAATTTTATCTCCTAAATATTCTAAAATCTATCCCCTCCCTTACCTACCATCTCCTTCTGATCCTCATTTTCTATAACCTGGATCACTGTAAGAGCATCTCAAATCCTCCTTCTCAAGACCAATGGATCTTAATAATGCAAATAAGATCATGACCACCCCAAGATAAAATGCTTCAGTGATCCCCACACCTCATCATTTAAAGGTAAATTCCAAGCTCTTTGACATATATATGGCCTTTCAAGGTCTGACCCCTGCCTCCCTCTCCAGCCTCACCTCGCACTTCATGCTCCAGCAACAATGAATACCTTGTGGTTGTGCACCTTCTACTCTTTCCCAGTCTCCACTACCTGGAATGCCTACCTGTCTGCCTAAGTTCTCAGAAGCGAAGCTGGTTGGGGGAGAATCTAGGAAGCCAGCGTTCACCCAGAACCATATTCTTCCAAATAGGAGGTTTTTCGAAACATTTAAAAATATTAAGTTAATATGACAGTTGCCAGTTGTTAAAATGGAGGAAATGGCTAGGAATCAAGATCAAAATCAAGATCCCCAGACGAGGTAGCAGAGGAAGTCGACTTAATGCTTTACTTCCCCACCATTCAGTGGTGCAGGCTCCATCTCCCGAGACTAGACGCTACTGGCACTTCTGGTTCCAGCAGGTTCTATAAGACAATTCAGATATCCTACCCTCTAAAAAGCTCTCTCTCTCTCTTCACTGGACTGGTAGCTCCTCCTCAAAGATCCCAACACCTTTGGCTAAGTTGTTTTCCTAGCATCCAGGAAAGTGTCTCAGGGCAAGGAACAGTGCTTACTCATTGTTATCGAGCCATTGCCCCGCACTATGTCTAGCACGCGGTTGATACTCAACAGAATTTATAGAATAAAGACTATAAATGACAGGATCTTCTCGGAGCTGGCTTTCTCTTTCATTAGAGAGCTTCTCCCAGACCCCTCCCCTACCTCCGCCAAGGTCCCGCCCCTTCCGTAGTAAAGCCCCGCCCCGTCTCCCTCCCCGCCAGCTCAGGCCCCGCCCCTTTCCCTTAAACCCCTAAGAAGACTGCGGGAGTTTGGCGCCAACCGTGTTTTTTTCCCCCTCCCAAAGGCGGGAACTAGTTATGTGCGCCGGGACGTACCTTGCGTCTGATCTGATTGGCCACGGGCGCTCAATCCCGCCTCCGCGTCCTGATTGCGCCCTGGCATTGGTGGAGATGCCAGGGAGATCTGGGTGTCGAGAAAGGAGCCCGGGCTGTCTTGGGCCAGGCGGGGCGGGTAAGTTGATGTAGAGGTCCGGTCCGCTCGGGGCTGCTAGGGAAGAGGCTCCGTGGCATGGTAGTGCCCCGAGCGGAGGCCAGCGGCGTCTGGGGAGTCAAGGAGTCGAAGGGAGCGGCGGAGTCGGTGGCGGGGGTGGGGGGGCGCGCCTGATGTCCGGGGCCCGCAGGTATCTGCGTTCCCGCTGCCCGCGGGTGCAGCTCCTGGGCTCGCACTGGCGTTCCTCTGTGGTCCTTGGGTAGGGTCCAGGCGGGGGCTGGGAGCGAGCGCACGTAGGAAGTGCCCTTTCGATCGTTCCTCTCGCCCCTCCCCCCAAAAAACCAGTCTCGTCTTGGAACGTAGTCTTAAAGGCTTTCGGATGGGATTCTCTGGAGGAATGGGTTTTTCCTAAGTGTCAGGTGGTCATTGAGGTTGGTTGTTTCCGGTGGTCATTGATGTTGGTTGTTTCGGAGACTGTTGTGCCCAGAGAAGTTATCTTGATCTCCCCAGCGCCTGGAACCATGCCTGACACACAGTAGGCCCTAACTCGGATGTTCGTGTAGAATTCGCAGAATCTCAGGATTTGTGCTTCAGGGATCAAGTTGGCGTTGACTGATTCTTCCTTGGTCTTTCCCATTCTCCATAGCTCCAGCTCCAAACTTTTCGCCTCTCCTCAAGACCCCTTCCCCATCTCACTCAGTGCCTCCTTGATTGGAGGGGGACAGAGATCCTCGGGGCAAGACTCTCCCCACCCGCACCCCAGTTATCTTTTAGCGTTTCTTGCCATTTTACAACAAGAGATGGCCCTCTTTCCAGAAAAAAAAATTATACTCTTTTCTCTAATGAAATTCTTGATTTTGTCATGTGGCTTTGGAGACAGAGCTGGGATCTAATTTAAGATCTGCGACTTACCAGCTATTTGACCTTGGGGCAAGTTTCTTAATCGTTTTTATCTGTTTCCTCATCTGTAAAACGGGAAAAAGAATAGTATGCATGTCCTAGGACTTTTGGGAGGATTTAAAATAAGTTAATAATCTATTTTGAACATTTAGGTCAGTACCTAGGACACAGTGTTCAGTATATGTAGTGTTTCTTATTATTTTCCCCTTACATCTTCAGGAATCTTCTTGCAGTGTTAGATTTAACCTTTCCTATGAGCCTGAAAATATACTCTCCTGCTAAAAACTCTGGCTTTTTCCTGTTTTTCTCTGTAAATGCTTATTTCATTCCCTCAATTTTTTTTTTAAAGAAAACTTCCTTTAGACGGTCTTTTTAAGACTTTGTCCTACCACAAAAGGCTAGGTGATCCTTCTCATCTGCTTTCCTTCACATCTGAATCTGTTGGAATCGTTCCTCGAAAGATTATGAGTGAGCTTGCAACTCTGTTCTTTCCTCGTCGTGGTTCTCAACGTTTAAAATTTTGTCTCTACACTCTTCATGGGTGCAACACTCCTATCAGTAGCAACTCTCATTATATATTGAGATCCTTAATTGGGAGAAGGTGAGAGCAAGTGTGAAAAAGTCCCTCTTTCCAAGAGATTCTGATACATAATCCTTCCTCCCCTCCCTTCTCCCTTCCTTTCCAGGAGAATCACTGCCCTTTGTGATTTCAAGAGAGTAATCTCAACTATGCCAATTTTCTTGTCTTTGGTGCTACATACTCTAGTTTCCAGGAATCTATTAGATATGTTCACCTGGATGTCCTACAGATAATTCAGCACATCTTTGGTTCTCCATTTCAGTTGAAAGCATGACTACCTTATTATCAAAGCTAGGAACTTCAGAGTTGTCTTTAATAAGTTGGGAATTTCATTAATTCAACAAATATTTTTTTTATTACCTACCAACCTGCCAGGCCCTGTGCTAAGAGCTGGGGATACAATGGTGAACAGAACAGAGACAGTCCTGGTCTTCATGAAGCTTACAGTCCAGTGGGTGAGATGGATGTTTCTCCAGGAATCCCACAAAAATGTAATCAGAAACTGAAGAGAGGCCATGTAGAGAAAGGACACGGAGGTATAAGAATATATAACAGAGGGTCTGACCTAGTGGAGATGGAGAGTAGCCAGGGAAGGCTCAAACATTACCTAAGCCAAAGTACCAAAGATGAGTTAAGTGAAGGTAGAGCATTGAGGAAAGAGCACTCCCTGCAGAGGCCCTGTCGTGAGTGGGAACAAACAGCATGTTCAAGGAGCTGAAAGACGGGCAATATGATCAGAGCAAAGACTACTAAGGAATGGGGGAGAATGATGCAGACTAACACCAGGGGGTTAGTGGAGGCCAGGTCACTCAGGGCTTTGTAAGCAGAATTGTGACGAAATTTGTTTTTTAACCTAAAATCAGCAGGAAACACTGAAGGCTTTTAAGCAGAGGAGGGATCATGATCAGATTTGCAATTTTGAAAGACAGCTCAGGCTGTGATTTTGAAGTGGTCAGGAGTGGACATTTGAATATACTTTCCATTAAATCTTTTTGATTCTGCCACAGAAATCTCTGAGATCTGCTTCTTGTCTTTATTCCACTACTGGTAACTTAGTCACACCCCTCATCCTCTCCTGCACTGTTTTAGTAGTCTTTTCTATCTCCCTTGCCACTAATGTTTTCTGTACTCTTCTTGCTTGAGTTAAATTTCTGAAATGCACATTTGATCATGATATTCCTCTGCTTTAAAAACCTTCAGTGGTTTCCCCATTCCCTGCTGGATGAAATCTAAGTATGTTAATTGTGTAATATATCACCTGACTTTTCTAAAACCTCATTTCTCACATTCTAATCCATGGGTATTCACACCCAGAGTTGCTTGTGAGCTCATAGATAGATGTGGGGAGATGGTGTCAAGAACTGTGTTTGCAAACAGGAACTCAGTTTCACTGAACCTTAGGGTTTTGGAAACCTTGGGATAGTGAGTGATGGGGCTAGAAAGGTAGGTGCCAATGTATATCAAGGTAAAGAGTTTGGACTTATTCAGTAGACATTGGAAAGTAATGGAAAGCAGGAAGTGATATGAGCAGGATTGCTTTAGAAGAACTAACCCAGCAGTTGTGTGTAGCATGTATTTGGAGAGAGGAGATAATTAGATAGCTATAGTGGGAGCCTGAAACAAATTCAGATGGCAAGAACAAAGATAAATGGGAGAAACGTTGCAAAGTAGCGTTAGTAGGCTGTGAGGGGATGCTAGTGCTACTCAAGGAAGTAGAGATGTCAGGAGGGGACAGATGTTGATGGAAAGATGATCTTTTTTGGTTTTAGACTTGGTGAGCTTGAACTTACAGGAATGCATTTACTTTATTAACTTTAGCAGCTTATTACTGACTCTTGGTTTGTGTTTTAGTACAAACAGTTCCTCATTTTCAAGCACTCTGAGGGGGCAGCAGAGGAGTCTGTCATTCTGATCTGGTACCCTTGTTGTGGCACTACTTGCTCTTTATCCTCTACCTCCTTGTGTTTGCCCATCAAGTGTTTAACCCAAAGAGATAAATTTTGCTTTTCAGTTGTAGAAAATAAGATATATATATATATTTTTT